CTCACTGAGAAGGTCTGAGCCCGAGTGATCCTTTTACCGTGAAAGGCAGATTGTTTTTTGCTCTGTTCAAAGTCCTCCTGTGGCTCCCATCCCACTCAGAATAAAACCCCAATTTATTAACCTGGGAAGCCTCCCCGACTCACCCCCACAGCCTCCCAACCTCAGCCCTGGCCCTGCATGGGCCTCCGCACCTCTGGACAGGGCCTTCCCCCGAGCCGCCACCTGTCCCGCGCTCCTCCCTCGGCCACCCACCTGCCCCGCCTCCAGCATTCCGGCTTCTGCTCACAGGTCACCTCCTCAGAATGCCCTTCCTGCCTGCAGCGCCTGTAACAGACGCCCCACCCCAGCAGCCCGGCAGGCTTGGTCCCTTTTACTTTATTTCTCTTCGTAGTATTTATATTACATATTTACTTCTTAATTTGCAATCTGTTCCCTCCCCTTGAATGTAAACACCTTGGTGTTGGGAACCTTTTATGGGTGTTTGTTTGTTTGTTTTCACGTCTACCTCCCCTGCACCCAACCTAGAACGTGGTGAAGAGACGTAATGGCAGTAATGATCGGGGCTCAGGGAGCCAGGCTCTGTCTGAGACCCGCATGCAGTAAGGATGCTGGTTTTCTACACCTGCAGTAATAATTCGCTGCCAACTTCCTGCTTAAAACAATGCAAACTTATTATCTTACAGGTCAGGTGGTCAGAAGTGCAAAATGGGTCTTATTGGACTCAAATCAAAGTGTCAGCAGGGCTGCACTTGTGCTAGAGGCTCCAGGGGCAAATCTGTCCCTTGCTCTGTCCAGCTTCTAGAAGCCGCCTGCGTTCCTTGGCTTGTGGCCCCTTTCTCCCTCCTCTCTCCCGCCTCCCTCTGATAAGAACCCTGTGATTTCGCTGGGCCCACTCAGATAAGCCAGGATAATCTCCCCATCTCAAGATCCTTAACTTCATCATATCTGCAGAGTCTCTACCACATAAGGTAGCGAATTCACAGGTTCCAGGGATTAGGATGTGGGTCTCTTGGGGGGCATTATTCTCTACACCACGTTAACCCACTAATCCTTCCAGCAACTTTATAAGGCAGGTACCAATATTATGCTATTTACAGGTGAGAAAACTGAGGCAGAGGGGATGAAGTCATTGTTCAAGTTCATAGAACTAGTAAGTAGCACCATCCACCTTAGGATCAGTGTACAATGCATTATTATTTTTTTTGATACCTCTGCCATTATAAATAATCTCATCCCCATAGGAAGTTACAAGGGCTCTGCACCACCAAACAGCTCGCTGGAAGACAGTGCTAAATGAATGTTTTGTTTTTTTTGAAACTTGAAGCCAGCAGTTTCCATGTTTAGCCCTCCTGCCTGCTCTACTCTAGACACATAGGAGGCCGGTCACAGTTACCACCACTAATCAAGGAATCTCCAGGTCACCAAGGGGAAAGGACAGAAGAGGATCTTTAGAGAACACAAAAGGGTGCTTACTGGGACTCACTGTGCCTAAAATGTCACTCCTCCTCTAGCCGGTGCACTCCTATCAATCCTTGAGAGTTGACTCTTAACGCCACCTCCCCCAGGAGCCCCACTGACCCCTCCAGCAGATACAGAGTCCTTTGTGCCATCGCTAGACATCGTGCACACCTGTATGATAGCACCTGTCACAAGGTAGTAATTATATGATTATGTATCTTTCCCCCTAGTAGTTCGAGGGTTCCTCGAGGGCAGGACAGGAGGCTGCCAGGTGTGCTCCCAGCACCCCTGAGTGGGCATCTCCCTTCACCCCCTCCGGCCATGATCTGGCTGCTGTCTACACAACCAGCACCCCGACCAACCTCCACTCCCCAGGCTGGACCCCGGGCTCAGAGAATAGACCCCAGAGGAGAACCATATCCTGCCATGTACTCAGAGATATCAAGGCCTCATGAGCCCACTTTGCAAAGCAGCACTGATCCCGGAAGGAAAGGGAGGGAAGGTTTCAGAGGCAGGAGAGCTGCCGCAGGGAACCAAGCCTAGCTCCTCTCCCTTTGACAGAGACCGGCTCAGCCCTGGGGCTAGAAGGAGAGTGCTAATGGGACAAGAACTTGAAAGCATCAATTAAGTGACAGGCAGCACGCCCAGGGGAAGAGATGTCCAGATTTGCATTCATCTGTGGACCCAAAAAATCTTCTGATGCAATAATTTTGAAATGATGCCTTAACACTGATCACTCCGAAAAGCCGGCAACACGAGGAAGCGCAGCCCTGGAGAGGGAGGGAGACAGCCTCTCGAAGGCCTCTGCAGGTGCCAGGCTCACGTCAAGGGCTCTCTCTGGCCCAACCCTGCAGCACGCGGCCACTCAGCCTTCATGACAAATAGCATCTACTGCCACTATGGACAAAGAGGGACCACATTCAGGAGGCAAGCTGACCAGTGGATTGCTTTTTGGAGAGGCAAAGGAGCATGAGGGAGAGAGAAGAGAAACAATCACTTCTTGACCTATGCAACCTGCTAAGTTATTTACACGCTCACATCCTCAAACCCACAACAAGGACAGGAAACTGAGGCTCGGCTTTGTAACTTGTCCAAGACACAGAGCAGGTAAGTGGCAGAGCTGAGATGTGAGACCTTGCCTGCCCTGTCAGCCCCCGGTACCCTTGTTCATTACACTCTCCTGCACCAAAAGCTCCCAGGCCATGTCATCATGAGGCTAGAAGATGGGAATGATTCTAGTTGCATCAGAAAGATGCTGGGTGGCATCTAAGGGTCAGCAGGCCTGGGTTCTGGTCCAGGCTCCAGTTGATGGGTGACATTGGGCAGGTCCGCTGAGCTCTAGGGGTTTCAGGTTCCTCGTCTGTCTAGAGTGGAGCTGCTGGTGGAGCTCTAAGAGGCCTCCCACTGTAACATTCTACGATCTTAGAAACGTACACCCATCCATGAGGATTTGTCCAGCTACAATTCTGAAAAGCATTATTCCTGCGGATACGAGGCTTGGAATGTCAAGAGTTTGCAAATGTGGCCGTTCCAACAACAATGTGTGCATGGAGCATTCCTGGCCGGGAAGAGTGATCCTAGGGAAGAGCGGAAGTCCGTCTGTCAGCAGCGGGCTTAAATGTGGCTAAAGGGCGGGCGGGGCGATGGGAGAAGGGAGTCTGGAAAGACTCACGTGCTGTTTGAAAAGAAAAAGGGTTTTAATGGGACGCGCTCACTCGCTCTGAATTTTAACGGCTTCTCAAAATGTAGTGGGGGCGGTGGGCGGGAGGAGGAAAGGAAGAGGATTTGTGGAGTGAACAGAGGGAAGAACGAGAAAGTGTTAAAAACAGGACAGTCAGTGCCGGGGTTCACGGAACGCGTGGAGAGATGGTGGAGTCCACAGCCGACCTGGCCCCGGTAGGGAGGCCCAAAGTTGGCTCTTAAGAATATTGTAACACCACAGAGTGGATTTGGGAGGCAAATTTTATTTTAAAGACTGAACAGCTGTAATCTCTACGATGCAAGTCAGGTAGTGAACATCTCTAGGCCTCAGTTTCCTCCTTTTTGGTGTGAAGAAAAGATCATACTGCGTAAGAATTTTGTGAGAACAAAGTAAAACGACACGTGTGTCACCCAGCAGTGTCTGTGGCCTGAAAGTGCTGGCATCCTTTGGGGGCAGCCACCAGCCCCGATGAGCAGCGGCCTCACTGCAGCAGCAGACAAAGAGGGCCAAGCCACACGTGGCCAGCTGTCCACGGTGACAGCCCACGGTGACACGATCCAGCCAGGGCAGGAGAGGGCTCCTCACAGCCTCGTCCCCTCCCTCCCTGCGGTCCTTGCCCTGAGACAAACAATCGGAAGGATGGAGAGGCCCTGACAGAAGCATGGGCTTCTCACTGCCCCAAAACAGAGGGGGCTCAAATCAGTGTTCGAGAGAAAATTACAGCGATATGGTGTCACTTCCCGGGCAGGATGATGAGTACGGTGTCGTGGGTGAGGACTCCGGATTCCAGTGCCGGGGTTGGTTTCATTCCCGTCATGGCTCACTCCAGCTGGGTAACAGGAGAGCTAGTAAAGGGATTTTTTTTCTTTGTGACCACAGCGTGGACTGGGTTTGGGAAAAAACGACAAAGGATGGGTGGGACCTCAAAGCTAGTCACAGCAGGGAGCTGTTGGGGCCCTGAAGGCCGGGGAGGGGGCTGGTGACTAGAACCCCAAGAGACAGCTCCCCAGAGAAGGGGGAACAAGCAAACTCATCCAGGCCTTGGGGACCAGAGGGCGAGGGCAGAAGGCAGGGAGTGTCCAGCCTGGGACTCCGCCTGGCACGGGGTGCAAAACTGACGCCAGGGGCCTGCTTGCTGTAGAAACATAGTGTCCAACACTATCTGTAGATAAGGAAACTGAGGTTGGAGGGGATAAGTGATGTGAATCATTAGAGACACAGACGAGACCAGAACCCAGCAGGGTTTGGGCTACAATTCCCAAAGAGACAATCCCGAATGTTGAAATCCCAAAAGATCAAAATCCCAAAACTATAAATCTGGAAAAAAATAATTTAAAAAATTCATATAAAAACATGACAGAATACTTCATAGGCCACTTTACACAATAAAATAGTCAATAACAATACACAAATTTTTGCAAGCATAAGCACTCAGGTATACTAACAGCAGTTACAGTTCAGATGAACTGTATTCATAAAGAAATGGAAGGAAGGAAAGACGCAAGGGAGGGAGGGGAGAAAGAAGAAAGAAATAAAGAGTGGTCAAAACTTGAAATGTATAAAGGCATATCATATGGTTGGTAATTGTGTGCTCAGACCACTTTGTAACTGCCGTCATGTGAAATACCACGACAAATAACCTGTCTTTTGATGAGATTAATCAAAAGCATCGATGGGTCACCATTGCATATGCAGTCACCCAAAGAATCAAGATCTCAAGAAATTTTATCTTTCACAAATGTAGATGTACAAAAAGAACATCTCTTCATTTATTGAGGAAGTTTCAATGTTTTTATACACATGTTCAATGCTTACATACAAAGTCCCCGTTGTGATAACACACTTTTGTGGTGTCAAATTTGCAATAAATGCATAAAACAAATTATAACTCTCTAAAGTCTTTACACAATTTATTCCTCCAGTACTGGAAGTGAGGTGAAGATGAAATGCACAGCATACCATGTTGGCACTCTTTGTGAAGGGGCAGAAGTCACACACGATCGAATAATTTGGCAGGGGAGGTTTCTTCTATTTTTCACCTGCATTTTCACTTCTGAGATCTTCAAAACACCACACTTTTATTTGGAGAGTGAGTGTGGTCTGCCAATTTCGTAAGTATGCACCGTCCATTTGAAAGTCTGGTTGTTTCTTGGCCGTTGCAATTAAGCAATTTTATGCTTTTGCAGCACCAATAATAATTAGCTTTTAAACATTTATTTTCTCAATGAAGCAGCCTCATGCACTTAATCATGGCCTTTCTGCGAGGGAAACATGTCACATATCTCTTCCACTGAGTTGTAAGGAATACAACACAAAGGAATGGCATTTGGCTTCCCCAGCACCAAATCTGTACGAGTCAGGGTTCTCCAGAGCAACAGAACGAGCAGGGTGTGTATATGGATGTATGAGAGGGGACTAAGTAGGGGAATTGGGTCTCACTGTCATTGTGTCTGAGAAATCCCATGACAGGCTGTCTGCAAGCTAGAGACCCCGGATGCTGGGGTCGCGGCTCTGGCCAGGTCTGAAGGCCTCAGAACCAGGGAAGCCGACGGTGTCACACTCAGTGTAAGGCTGGAAGCCTGGAGTGTAAGTCCCGGAGTCCAGAGCCTGAAGTTCCGAGGTCCAAAGCAGCAGAAGAGAAGTCTGTCCCAGCTGTCAGAGAGAGACCAAGTCGCCTTCTGTATTTGTTTTCTCTGGGCCCCAGCCGACTGGATGGTGGCCACCAACATTGAGCGCAGATCTTCCCCACCTGGTCCACTCAGACTCATACCTCATTGCCTCTGCAAACATCCAAAACAATGCTTTATCACATTCCTAGGTATTTCTTAACCCAGTCAAGTTGACGCTTAAAATTCAGTCCACAATCCTACCCCTTGTCAACTTTGCACCCATACAAATCTCCTTAAACTGTACTTAATTTCCACATAAAGACAACAGCAAGGTAATAGTTCCACCTAACATGATGCAATTATCCTGCATAAAACTGAAAATGTACTAACCCATTCCCCAGAATTATGGCTTTTAAACAACCACGCTTGGCACTTCTCTCAGTCTATAGTGTGGCCTCCTTGAAATCAGCATCAACACTGTCTGTGCACAGCATTTACCCTGTGCTGGGCACTGTTCTAATAACTCATTTGGATTCCCACAACAACTCCATAAGGTGGGTACTACTACTACCCCCACTTTACAGATAAGAAAACTGAGGCACAGAGAGGCAAAGCCACTTGCTAAGGTTACACTGCCTACTAAGTGGCAGAACTGAGGTTTGAATCCCAAAGATTTGCCCCCAGATCTGTGATGTTACTCTCTAAGGTACAGGGTTAGAGGGGGGCCCTTGAGGAAACTGAGGGGGACTGTCACTGTTACCAAGGTAACAGGACCCCAAGTAACTAACTACTTTGCAACGTGGCATTGGCTGTCCTCACCTCACCTGGTGCCTGAAGCTCACTCTTCAAGGTAGGCCCTGGGGCGATCTGCCACCCCCCTTCCCTCAGCCCACTCTCTCCTCAGAGGGACCCCTACTGCCATGCAGAGTGCCATCTGTATACAGGAAGGGCTCCACATGCTTCCCATCGGTTCAACCCTCAGGCAGCATGTCCTGGAACACCATAGAGCCCTAATTCTACTCCCAAGGAGGCTCCCAGGACAGAGTGGTGAATCCTCAAACAGCTCAAGCTCTGCAGCCGGTGGCAAAGCTTGACAAGTCACGTGGTGCTTTGACTGACTCCTAGGAGCCCATCGCGGGACATCGCGGGACAGAGCACAGACGCAAAGCTCTGCTCCTCACCCAGGCACCTTCTGTCTGTCCTTTTCCACTGGTGGCCTAGCCTTTTGACCAAGTCACCAGTGCTGGCAGTGTGTCGATCATTCCTCTGTCCTCACTCCCTGCCTTGCCCAGGGCAAGGCTTCTGTGTCCGAGGTGAGGAAACAAGGATGAAGCAGTAAGAGGGCGGGTGGCGGGCGGAGCTCTTCCCCAACTGTCAACCTACGTACAGCCACAACAGCCCTGGGAGTCAGCCACTACGAGGACCGGGAGTATTTATTGATCTCTTAATACAGGCCGGGCTCTGTTAAAAGTGCTTTCTGTGGATTACTTATACACAGGGCCTGTCGATCCCTAGTTTACAATTGAGGAGACCGAGGTTGAAAGAGAATGAGTAATTCACCCAACGTGCCAGGGTTTAAACCCAGGTGCTACTGAGTCTCGGCCACTCTGACATTCTAACTCCTCAGGGAACAAAGGACTTGCTGTGTCTTGCTAAGCTATTCGGATTTCATAATGACAATGGGGGTACTTTTTGAAATTTCAAATAGAATTTGGTGATGGTCATATTTCTCTTAAAAAGAATGGCTGTGGGTGGATCATTGGAGGAGGGGACACTTAGAGACAGGGAGGCCAGCTGGAAGGTTGTGGTGATAATCGAGGGTTGACTAGAAAAGACCACCTGCACAAGAGCAGTGGCAGAAGGTGGTGAAGAGGAAGCAGACCGAGGAGATACTAGAGATAGAATGAGCCTTGTTGGGTGGGAGTAAGTGGAGAGTGTGCAGGGAAGGAGGGAAGTTTAGGATCACTCCCAGATGTCTGGTTTGAGAAGCTGCATAGATAAACAGATCACCAACTGGGAAGAGAGTACAAAAAGGGTGCAGATAGGAAGGCCTTGGGGAGGGGGGATTAATGGATTCTGTTTGGGACTTGTTGAGTTCAAGGTACCCATAGGACATTCAGATGGAAATGCCAACCCCACTGCCCACCCTTGAAGGGTCTGAGCTGGAGATCAGACTTAGAGGTTGCCAATCTTACGTTCATGGCCTAAACACATTGCAGTTTATGAGCTCATCCAGGAAGACTGTGGTGAGTGACACAACAAGGTGGCCAAGGATGTGGTCTTTAGCGTCCATGCTTAAGGGCAAACTGTGGGAGCAGAACCAGCCAGGAGGACTGGGAAGGAATGGTCAGAGCAATGGGAGAGTGAAGAAGGGAGTAGTTGACTGCATCAGATGTCAAGGTCAAGTGGAGGAAGACAGAAATATGTCCATTGGATCTGCCCATTTGGGGAATCTTTGCCAGAATTTTGCCAGAATCAGCTATCAGTGAAACGGTGAAGGAAAAAGATCACCCCACAGGAAGCTCCTGGAGTCTAACACAGTCACAGCTCTGGGGACCTGACCCTGGTGTGGGCCTCAGTGGAAGGCCAAGCAGACACTCCTTGCTCTGACGCACCCCACTCTTCTGAAACGCTCAGTTCCTACACTCAAGACCCCATTTGACTTCTCAGTTGGTTTCTTCAGCATTCATCCATGTCTTGAAACCTCCTGAAAATGTCCCTCTTCCTAAAATATTCCACCCCCACCCTCACCAACCACTGGGAAAACAGAAAATCCATGCCCATTACTAGATGCAGGGAGGGCTGAGTTCAAATCTGGACTTTGTCTTCAATGGCTGTGTGCCTATAGGCAGTGACTTACCCAGTGTATAAACTAGGCTAATAAGACCTGTATTGCAGGGGTGATTTGAGGAATAAATGAGATAACCACTCAGGGAAGTTGCCTCCCTCCTAATAGGCTCAAGAAATGTTTTCCTTTAGCTCCAGTTCTCTCCAGGCCCTAAGAATGGCTACAGCCCAGGGAAGAGCCTGGGTTTATCTAACCTTCTCTTAGAGAGGATTTTATGGGGGTGAAGGATGAGAGGACACCAGGTTAATGGGAGCTTGCAGAGTTAGAAAGGAGTCACCAAAAACAAATATTTCCATTGGTTTTATGTCAGGCCTGCCTCATCCCAGCAGCTGTCTGCTGTCGGCCTACAATGAGTGACGGGCGATTCTGCTCACTCCTCGGCCTCCCCAAGTGCTGCTCTGGCTCTAGAAGAGGACATGGGAGCAGACAATCCAGGGCTCACCTGTGGCCTTTGCCACCTCAGCGCATACCAGCCAGGCTTTGCACGGCCACAGTTCCCCGTGGCTCCTATGGTTCTAAACCATGGGTGATTTGGATTTGGCAATGTCTGGAGACATTTTTGATTGTCACAACCCAACAGGTGGGGAATGCTACCAGCACCTAGTGGGTAGAGGCCAGGGATGCTCCTAATCCTCCTGCAATTCACAGAAGAGTGACGAAGAATTACCTGGCTCAAAATGTCTCTAGTGCTGAGGGCAGATAGCAATATTAAAGTCTGCTTGGCCCCGAGCTTGATGGGACTCCCTTTGGTGGTCTTCCTCCCGGCCTCCATCCCTGGCCTCCATCCCTGGTCTCCATCATCTCCCCATTCCTCTACTGGAGTCTCCAGGGTTCCTCCTGATTGAGCCTCTGCACTCAAATCACTGTCATAGGGTGTGCTTCTGGGGACCCCTGAACAGGATACACCCTCGCTGTTTCTGCTCTAGGTAAGGTGCATCTTACCTGCTGTTGCCACTGGAAAAGGTGCTCCCACCACGAGGGAAGAATAGGCTTTTCACAGATGTACAGAGCAAAGATGACAGTCCAGATGGAAATAACACAAACAGGATCCCCTGAGAACACGCTCCAGGGAACACTAACCAGAGCAGAGGCTGGATGTGAGCAGAGTTGACCTCAGCATGTGTCTTGGAGGTGAGTGCGAGGCCAGGCTCAAAGCAACGAGGGGGGCGAATCGGCAGCACGGAGGAGACAGGGCTTTGAGAAGATTCAGTGCCAGATCCCAAGCCCAGGCCGCAACTCTCGGGGCTGCTTTCCCTTCCAAGGCGAGGCTCCCAGGGCACCGAGGGAACTGTGAAAACACTGCAGATCGTCACCAGGGCCGCACACGGCCCAGAACGGCCCTCCTCCCTGTGCACTTCCTCTTTGTGGAAGGGAACAAAATGGCTGCAAACGTGTCCGACGTGAAGGGAAATCTTTGTTGGTGTCACGGCGCGGGGATTACATCTGCCTACAGTTACAGGATGTATCACTTGCAGAGAATTCCTGCTACAACATACTCAACCAAAAAAAAAAAAAAAAAAAAGTATTAAATAGCTGGCTCTATTTGATCTATAGTTTTCATTCTTTTTTTCCCCTCCTGTGGTTTTTCACCAAAGTCCACTTTGACGTGCCTTTAAAAGAAAACCCTATGTATATGAGCAATGGGTTTAAAAAGAAAAAAAAAAAAAACTAATATATCGAACAACTCAACATATACAATTTGGAAGAAGTAACCGGATCCTCTGCTCTGGCAGGCTGTAAACTGGGCCAGGGAGGGACATTGTTATTCTTTTGCTCATTCTGCCAAGTTAAAAAGGAAGTTGGAGATTAGAACAAAATATTTAAATCAAAAACGAATCCTTCAATGAAAGTTGCCTGATCCCCTTTACTGCCACCCCTGCCTCCTTCCCCCTTATTGGAAGCATATTTCTCTCTGCAAAGAAGTGGTGCATTGTTGCTGAATAGAAGGGGGACAGCCCCCGGGGGAGACACATCGATCTCATCATTTTAAAAGCGAGAGATAAATGACCTAAGGCCTCTTCCCAATCAAATGCTGTTTCTGCACATTCTCAGAATAAATGGCACAGTTTTCCCCGGTGAGCAGGGAGCTCTCGCTCCTTGGCTGGGTTTGCCTATGCTGGTCATGCGTCCTGGGCCCTGGGACAAGGGAAACGGCAACTAAAATGGACATATCTGTGACATTAGGGCCCTGAATTGTTCTTTGAAACCCAGGCAACATCTTAACGCTTCCTAATGATCCTGTATTAAGATTCAGTATTTTGATTTCTTGAAATCTCCCTCAAATTTACTAGAAGAGATGAATAGGTAGCGTAGGTTCTGCAAGTAACTATTGCAGGAAAAGGTCTAAGAAAGAAGACGGAAGGAACAAAGCCACATCTGATAACCAAAGATCTCGAGCACTGCAACCTACTAGTCCCTCCTCAGAAGGTAAATGTGGACCTTTGGTGCTGAGCTCACTTAATCCATGTTTAAAGTAACAATGCAAAATAATGTGGTGGGACTTTTAGACACCTTTTATTTCTAAGAATGGTTTTATTAATCTGCTATCATCTTCACAACTGACCTGGTTCTACATACTTCAATACTCACCCTCACTATTCTGTGATCTTGCAAAATTAATTTTTTTATCACTCTTCACCACCCTAAATAAATGTTAGTAATGTAGTTCCCCACCATAAATAGAGTATAGTCATAATAAATTAACAACAAAATCATCCAAGATACAAAAGCAAGGATACATTGACAGCATTAATAATAGCATGAAAATATATAATAATGATTTTGTTCTTCAGAGGTAAGAGTGAGTTGTATTACACAATGGATTTTACAATAAACATTTGTAAAAAATATGTATTTTGATAGTGGACAATTATATAGAACTCATATGTATCCTGATTTTTCCCCAACCTCTCTGGCTTCACCATCCTGTGGTCTTGTGTATTTCAACACTGATCTTAGATCAGAGATGTCCTGGGCTCATTACACTTTCTGGTTGAACACTCACCCAATACCTGTGCAAGGAACCTAGATGCCTGGCCCTCCCCCTTTCAAGCACTAAATACTTTAGAAGGAGGTTTTAAGATGGGAAAACAGCATCATCATCAAATGATCCTTAATAGGCCTACAAACAGGCACCTACCAGTGGGCGCCTTCTTCTGGGTGCACCTTGCTCACCTACAGCCTGTCCTCAGCAGCAGGAAGCACTCTTTTTTTTTATAAAATACATTTAAAGGGTACAAGTTGAACTCTGTTACATGTATATATTTTAGTGGGGAAGTCTAGGAAGCACTAAGTTTACATACTATGTGTGTACATGTGCATGTCTGCTTCCTGATCTTCTTCAATGCACTATTAGAAATGAGAACAAAAAGAGTGTTACTTTTCAAGATACTTTCCCTTGGAGCCTCTCTCTTGTTCTTAGACGTAAATTTCATTACCATCCCCACCCCTGGAGAAATTGTAGGTCTCCACACCATTGCTAGCTCACCTGCTAGACAGTTCTTGATGGCGCTCACTCAAAAAATCTGTATTGAATTTGCAGTACAGGGACTGAGCTAGATGCTCCGCCCAGTCTTTTCATTTAATCCTTTAACACCTTGCCTTTGGGGGTTATAATTCACTTTATTTTGCATAGGAGGAAGCTGAGGCTCAGAAAAATCGGGTGACTTGTTCAAGGTCCCTGGGGAACCAAATGTCTTCAACCTTTCGATCTTTGCTCAAGCTGGTCCTGCCCAGAAGCCCTCCCTGCCAGCTGGCCTGCCCAGGCTGTCCATTAGGTTGGTGGTGGCCTCTTCTCTCAGCCAGAACTCTAATGATCCTCTTCGAAAGCGCTTTCTCTCTCATGACTCATTCCCGTCGTCTTGTTCCCACCTCATACCTGCCTGGCTGCAGCAGGCTCTCTGGTCTAAGTTGGTCGCCTCCTTGACTAGATGTCCACTGCCAGCTCACTCTTCCAAAACACTGCCTGGATCCCTGCAGCTTCCCAAGAGTCTTGCTCCACCAAGAACTAACTGAGCGAGTCTGGGAAAGTCATTAAAACCCTTTGGCAGTTTCTTCACAATTATAATAGGCACAATAATCTCAGATTTATCTCTGGAAGAAAACTAAAGTGAAGATTGAATGAGACTCAGAAAGTGGGCTTTTGGGGACAAAATTCCCAGGCCAGATTTTATCTTCAAAATGCCCCTGAAATGTAAATTTTCAACCAAACTTGCTCAAAATGTGGTGTTTCTGGATCGGAATCCAGAATTTTTCCTCCAAAATTTCCCCCTCTGCCCACAAAAAAAAATGAAACTTGGTCAATCAACTTTTCCCTGAAAAACCTGAGTTTAGAGTTTGTGTTCCAGAAGGTGTGGCCAAGAATTATACTCAATAATAAACTCTACATTTCTCACATGTGAAATCACCAATAGGGATATTTCGATAAGGAGTCTTATTTTTAATACCCAAGCATCATGTTTAATGAATCCAATCCTAGTTTTCTGGGTTAAGTGATATTCACTAAGGTAGCCAAAAAGAAAACAAAAAAGTTTTGGAAGCATAAATTATTGAAAATCCTGGTACTCAGACTTTTTCAGATCAAAACAAGTACTAAAAACCTTCAGTGCCTTCCCTTTACCATGAAACAAAAGCCCTGGCTCCTTTAGCCTGGCTTTCCCAGTCCACTCCCAGCCTCAGTCTACCCTTCCCACCCAAAGTTCCTTTTCTCCTACAGGAACCATTAATTAGTTCTAGACACTCTGGCTTAATTTGCACTCTTCTAAAAACCTCTTCAATTTCTTTCCTCTGTGTTTTCCCTCAGCCCTTTTCCCTGTACCCAAATGCCTCCCCACTCACATTGACCTAGTTGGCCAAAGCCAACGGGTCCAAACCTCCACTTCTTCTGTGAAGTCTGTCCTGAACACACCAGTCTGAACAGGTCTGTCCTTCCTCTGCACGCCTGTGGCATGCCCGTGTGCTTACTCACCCTGTGCTTCTGCCTCCTGATACTTCTCCCGTGTCATCTTAAACTATCACGAAATGTCTTTCCTCGTTATCTTTTAACGTTTGGTGCCCCACTCTGCTTGTATACCCTACACATACAGTAGCCACTCATTATAACCTTGATGCTTAATATGACCCACATGCTTGCAAACTACTCTCCTCAGAAGACATATTTCTTATACATAAAGCAAGGGAATTGTAGAAATTCACCCCCATCAAATACTTCTGGCCAAAAAAAGGGAGTATCTTTCCACAGTCTCAACGGAAACTGTGCATGTGAATGTGTGTTTGGGGTACAGAAGCAGAGAGAGGCTTGTTAATTTTAAAGCCACATAGTATGTTTGGCTAAGACTGTGACTCCATTTGTGTATTTCAACCACGTAAAATACACCCTGGGATTCTGGACTGAGAAAAATAGCCATATAAGGAGAAAACAAGGCATTCCCTATAGCTGCTCTTGTAAAACACTCTATGATTTAACCCTCTGCTCGGACAGATCCAAGCTTCTGCACTTTACAACTGCAAACAATCAAATTCCTGGGAGGAGCTCAGCGTGTGACCTGCACCATTGGGCACAAACGATCACAAACAAAACCTGACAGGTCACACACAGGGCAGCATGACCAAAGCTTTGCAGCTGCCTGCTTTTCTCTCTGCGGTGGGCCGTCCCAGCCAGAGCAGCACCGAGATGAGCTCCAGCCCAGAGACAATTCTGAGCGCTCATTAATCCTTCTTTCCTTCAAGAACACAGGGATCTGGGGTCTGCCTCCACATTCCAGGTGACAGTCCATCAATCTGCAGAATCCCTCCATCAGGGAGGTGCCGGAGACGAGAAGGGTGTCAGGATAAGGAAAGAGGGGCTCCAGGAACAGCAGCCAGATGCAGGACCAGCCAAGTGCTGGCCCACCTCCAGCACGCTGCCCGGCCCGCGGCGCAGTGTGTGCCCGGCTGGGGGCCCTGCGCCGAGCAGAGGAGGGATTACAGAGCAGGGGGCTGACAGAGAACCCAGCTGGCATTAATAATAGCTCTGCGAGATACAGCTTTCTGGATGGCAAAACTGAGGTTCTGAGAGGTTCCAGTGTCCCTTGCACCCAATGAGTGGGCTGTGATTAGTAATAAACTTTTATGCTGTGGCAGACACTGCTCTTTTTCTGCTGTTACCCAGTCTAACCCTAACCTCCTTCCCTCTGGCAATAGAATGACACCACACACACACACACACACACACACACACACACACACACACACACACACACACACACACACACACACACACTAAGGAGCAAGGAAGATGGCTGCCCAGCTGGAGATACTATTTCCCAGACTCCTGGTGGCCATGTCGCTCATTTCCAAGGAGAGGGATATCAGTGAAAGTAATGTGCACAAATTCTGGGTCACATCTTTTAAAAGTAGCTGCTTGCCCCTCCCATGGGCCGGAATGCAGATGTGGGGACGAAGAGGACAACCCTGGGGATGGCGGAGCTACAGGAGGAGGAGGCAGGATGAGTTTGTGGAACAGCGCCACCTACCTGCCGGCGCCACCTACCTGCCGGCGCCACTGACCGCCTGCTGGGCTCTCCGTGAAGGGAAGCCATCTCCTCTGAGCCACGCTGTGTTTTTCAGCGTCGTTGTGACAGCAGTTTAGCCTGCATCCTAACTAATGCATGTGACCTTGACTTTCTGCTGCCTCAGCTGTGTGCAGAGATTCTTGAGGCCATACTAGCTTGCACTAATTTAAAAAGCAGAAGGAAAAAACATCATAGCCAAGTTACATAACAGTCAGCAGTCTTCACAGGCCAAAAACACCCCCTCCCTGAGTCAAGGCTGAAATGGACCTCAGCCACATGGGGGAGGCCTGCACAGGTGAGAGGGAAGGTCAGGGAATCCAGCTCCCCACTCCCCATAAAGGAGTGTGCTATGGAAAGTTTGCCTTTGCGGTTGAATTTCAGGTTGAAAAGCCCTAAACCTCATTTAGCAGGAACCAGAAGCACTATTTGGACAAGTGTCATTATCATTCCTAAAAGGACTTATTCACATAGTCTTCCTCACTAATGTTTTAGATCTGCTTTACCTCCCTGAGATAAATGTGTTAAGACATTTACTATGATTGTAATTTGACAATTGCTCCTGGGAATTCAAGTTTTGCTTTATATTTGGGGCTATAATATTATACATGTATTAGAATTGTTGTATTCTTTTTAAAAAAAATCTTCATCACTAATCAGGAATTTTGCCCTTAAGTCTAGTATACATGTAACCATATTCAGCCTTTTTTTTTTTTTTGGCCTTATAGATCTTTCATTCTTTTGCTTTTGTTCTTTCCTCTGCCCTTATATTTTAGATAAGTCTCTTATAAACCACATAGATTTGTATTTTTCATACATGTTAACAACCTCTGTGTTTTAATTGATGCATTTAGTCCATTTATATTTATTTAGAGTTCATTTCTGCCACCTTATTTTGGGTTTTGTATTTGCCTTGCTCTATATATATGACCTTTGCTTTCTTTTCTTTAAAGTTTTAGTGAATTAATCCAGTTTTCTTTATTTCTTCTTTTCCTATTTTGATTTTCCAAATACTGACTTGGTAATTATACATCTCATTTTTTTTGTATATACATACATCCTTTTTAGATGTTCCCCTTACATTTTTAACACACATATTTGACTTTGAAAAGCATAAAATATTAATAGGTTACCTCTACTCACCCAGTAATCTTCAGAGCTCTGATCATCTCCCACCCTTCTTACATAGCATTGTTGTCCAATATTTCATTTCAACTTCAATACTCTTAAAATTTGTCAATATTATTAATTTCTATAGACAATATTTGGTTAGATTTAATTACCGTTCCTAGATCTCACTCCTTCCTTTTCATTTCAATTTTCTTCTACTTGAAATAAATCCTTTACCAGTTCTTTCATGAGAGATTTTGGTAACCAAAACAACAACAATAAAAAACTTCTTAATTTCATATTTGTTTTTGAGTAATAATTTAGTTTGATATAAAATTATAAGTTGACAGTTATTTTCTCGTAGTGTTTGGGTATGTCATCTTATTGACTTTTGGTTTCTGTTTCTGCTGTTGAGAAGTCTTCTGTCTAATCATATTTACTACAAAGGAAAATCTTCTCTTTAGTTTTTTTGTTTGTTTGTTTTTGTTTGTTTGTTTTAATTTCATTATAGTGGACTTAAGTTCTGGATTCACACTTGCTTATTCAGCTCATGGCTTGCTGTGTTTCCTGAATCTCATGATCTTTATCTTTTAACTATTGTAAAAGATTCTCAGTCTTTGTTTCTTTGAATATTTCTTCTCCTTTATTCTCTATTCTCTTCTTCTAAAACTCTTATTCTTTCTCATTATATCTTCCATATCTTTAGTTACTCTCTCCTATGTTTCTGTTTCTGTGATTCATCCTGAGTTGAAATTAGATCTCTTCCAGATCACAACTTTTTTTCTTTAGCTATGTCTAATCCATTAAAATTGATGATTGTAGTTATTACTTCTAGAAGTTTAATTTGTTTTTTAAATCTGTATTTTCTTTTTTCATAGTACCTTATACATTTATTATTATTTATTATGTTTTTAGTTCCTTATTTTATGTCTCTAATCATTCTAAACATACTTACCATTCATGTGCACTGCATCTATTATCTGAAGTTCTTGGTGATCTGATCCTGATGGTGTGCTATCTGTTGATTCTCTCTCATGGAGAACTGTTTCCTAAAATGTTTTGTAATTTCGGAAAGTGAGCTCCTCTTCAGTGGGGTTTAATCTATGGGTATCTTGTGTAGGGCAAGGGTGTGACTTAGTAGAGAGTCTTGTGTTTAGTTCATGATTGCATGGCCTAGAATCACACTTTTATTTATTTTTTAATTGACTTATAATGATTGTTCATATTTATGGGGTATAGGGTGATATTTTGATATATGCATACAATGTATAATGATCAATTCAGGATTATTAGCATATCCATCACCTTAAGTATTTATCATTTCTTTGTGTTGGAAACAAAATCTTCTCTTTTAGTTGTTAGAAAATATACAATAAAGCATTGTTAACTATTGTCATCCTACAGTGCTATACAACACTAGAATTTATTCCCATTATCTAGCTATAATTTTGGATCCATTAATCATCCTCTCCCTCTTCCTCCTTCATACTCCCCTTCCTAGCCACTAGTAAACAGCATTCTACTTTCCACTTCTATAAGCACAACTTTTTTAGCTCCTACATATGAGTGAGAACATGTGATATTTGTCTTTCTGTGCCTGACATTTCACTTAACATAATGCCCTCCACGCTCATGCATGTTGCCATGGATCACAGGCTTTCACTCTTTTACATGGCTAAATAGTATAGAATCATAAGTTTATGTTAGTATCTCATCTTGGATGTTCCTGGACCGCATATATAGTATAAATTCAAACCCTGAACTCAAGTAATGCATTAGGTTCTTGGTTCAGAATTCTTGATTGACAGTTGCGAGACAATTTTCCATGCCCAGACTGCTGGTTAAAACCAATACATTTCTTTGTTGTCTCCCTATGCTAAAGTCTTTCTTGGCCTGCACTTGGCCTGTCATGGAAACCACAAAAGTGTAGATCCCAGCATTCACAACTACTTGCCTTTCCAATTCAAGTTCCTAAGACAACTAACATCGTTTCCGTGTCTTCAGACTAAATGGCTTACCTTTGGCCAGGGATCCATGTCTGATACAATCAGCTGTAAACATACAGAGTCTCTGGTACTTAGGGAACTCCCTTTTGGTCTGTGAAGAGAGAACTTTTGTAGCAAGGGGGCCTAGGGGAAAAAAGGAAGAAACGGTCATTAGAGGAAAAAATTAGTATCTCTGCAACCAATAACTTTCCTTCATCACTTCTCCTTGTTCTCATTCTTCTCTGCCCTCAATGACTGTGAAATCCCCACTGTGGGCATAAAGTTATTAAAGGTAGGAGTCAGCGGTTGTAACCAAGAAGGGTGTTGACGGTCTCACAGGAAAGATCAAGGTGAGCATGTTTCTGCATAGCAGTAGAATTTATTTTCAGCTCCTACCAAATTTGGAAGTTACCCTTCCACACAACACCCAGCCAGTGATTGACATAGTAGATAGTAAAGAAATATTTGTTGGAACAAAATATCAAATACTTTCTCTAATCTTCAGTAAGGGGAGAATGCAGTACACAGAGGCAGTGGGCAGGAAGTGTTCAAAGAAAGACAGAAAGCTGCAAGACCATGCCAATAAATAAATAAATAAATCTTTCTTTTTTAGAGAAATAAGTAACTTGAGGCAGGCAGTTAGCAGAGAATGCTGGAGGAAAGTAACCTCTTTTAAAAGTCATCACAAAGGCTTGGAACCCGGAGTGGACTTTGAATTAGCAAATATGCCAAAGATTGAGAATGTCTTCAGTTCATAAATAAGAGCCCTGTGACAGGTGGGGACATTCCCCACTAACCCTCATGGCAGGGGGTCATCTATGAGCTTGGGCATTACATTAAGATAAAATATCCCACAAAAGCGAAGAATTCTCCTAGGCACGCCTATGTAAGGGATTAGAGGGAAGGAACTGAGAAATTTTAAAAGAGATCCACTATGTTAGGTTTTTGTATGCATTAATGCCCATGTTAATTATGTATTAAAATATTTATAGTTCCAATCATCTTGTGGAACATCTTTCTTAATATGTTCTTTTTGTTTTTAAGACCCAAGTTAAAGGATCTCTCCAAATAGATATTTGGATTAGCTGAGAGCTGCAGTAAAAACTTGGGAGCTAAGAAAATAGTCCCCCTTATAAAATGCTGCCATACCCAGGTTTTCTTTATTCTAAGAGTATGATTCATTAGATTCAGCCTACTAATGGAATCTCTGAGATTTCTTTAGAAAAGGTCTTAGAGGTGGCCATTTGGTTGAAAGATGGAGACTAGCTGACTTAATTTGAAACTGTGTTTGCATATCAAGTATGCAACGTTTCTACTCTAATTGTATATTTATTAAGGTTGCCTTGGGGAAGGGGAGGTTAGATCCCACTCTCCAAGCTAACCCTTGGTCCCACAAAACTAGAAAATTGAATAGAGGAGAATAAAACCCACAGCATGAGAAAGATGATTGTAGTGCCAATCTGAGATCCAGGGAAGCTTTGTCAGCCAAAGTTTCATGCTGTTTTAGCTCTTTAAAACACTCCAGTCACCTGTCCCCCAGGATTGGGGTGGTCTCCATCACAACAGCAATCGCTGGCCCCCTGCCTGTTCTGACAGAAAGAGCTCATGACAGGAGGCTTCCTTGAGGAGTTCAACAGAATGCAACTATGTCACGGGCCCTCAAACATCTAATACCAATAATGACATCAACACTGGGCCTTGGATTGCATTCCCAACAGTAGCTCCTGCAGTTGTTCTCGGATGAAATCAAATTACGGTGGAAAAAATGTACGAGCCCTCCCTTCCCACAATGGGGTAAAAAGGGCACTTTACCACCGGTAGAAAACACCACCTCACCAGCTCACAGGTGGCGCCATTCAAGAGCAAGAATGTGCAGAATGTGTCAAATGTATGTATTAAATGTGTGTCGAATTAGGTGGCCTCCCTTTTTAGACCATTAAATCTTTGCCTCTCATTGTAAGGAGGGCTCACGGGCCATCGGCGGGAACTCAGCAACACAACAACTGAAGACATGCATCTCGCCACAGAAACAAAGGCTCTGCAGTGGCCCAAAGAGTGTGACCAAGGCCAGCACCTGTCGGCACATAGCATACCTTTCTTTCCCCAGGTAATTCTTTCCAGAAATGCTGCTAGGAGGTACATTTTCCCTCTTCCAGCATTTCTAAAAATATTTAAGGTATGAGATAAGCACTCAGTGCTTTTATATTATATTTATTTTATATTAAAGAGCTTAGGTGAAAATATTCTATTATGCAGATCTCAAGCGTTCAGAATTCTGGGGCATCTTCAGGCTGGAAAACACCCTTGCACTCCCCCCCCCTCGAGCTCCCTGTGGGGGCACCTCCAAAATCTGAAAGGCACACTTGCCCTGGGGCCCCACAAGTGGATCTTAGCCCTTGGTGTCATGAGAACCTGGACAATTTCCTGAGCCTCTCTGTCCTCGGTTTCCTCTCTCAGGGCCATTGTGAGAAGTGAACGCAGTGACCCATGCAAAGCAGCATCAAACACATACTAAACCCCACCTGCCCATGATTCCGTGTGTCTGAGACGATGCCTGGTGGAGGTTTTGTCCTAAACCTACACAGTGGACACTGGTGTTCTGGATTGTGCAGCTCCATTTCCCTTTCTCTGATGAAAGCCCCTTGAAATAATTTTCTTTCTTGGCCAATGGCTGAGAATGTGCCCAGGCTAGACCACCTGGAATTGTGCCTTGAGTGGATCTTGGCCAGGACCTGTGCTAGGACAGAAAACTTAGAGCTAATTAAACCTGGAACCCAGGCCCTACAGAGCCTGCCCATGTGTCCCTTACAGTAAGTTCCTGTCTGTTTCTCCCCCCCACCCCTCCATCATTAATCCTGGCCTACCTGTCTGCTTCTTGGAGTCAACCTGGATGTCTGGGCCTTGCAACAATGTGTCTTGGTCTCCCGCTCCCTGCATGTGTGAGGAAACCCATTCCCAGGTCGGGGGGACTGGCGTGGAAACAAGGCGATTAGCCAGGCCCACGTAGCAGCCGCCTGCACCCTTGCCCCACCGCCTCCCTGGAACTCTGCTCCTGGGCTCCTGCCAGTGGCCGGCGGGCCCTCCACGTCCTCGCTCTCTCGTGTTCCACGTCATCCCAGCTTGCAAACCATCATCTATTTCAACTCTCAGGCCTCTTTTTTCCCCCCTCTGGTACCAGGCTATTTTCATAAATCTTTCATTTTAAAATAAATCTTGGTGTCTTGCTCACCACAACATTTCTAAAATTCATGCCTCTGCCAGCGTGCTCATTCCAGAGGAGGGCCCTTCCCTCTTGAATGTTGGCAGCGCCCGGCCCTCCCAGCTCCCTCCCCCGCCACCTTCCTCTCTCCCAGAGAGAAAATGAGGTTTGGACTTGGGTGGGTTGAAAGCCCATCCGTGCATGCCATGCATAACATTCCCTTCCTCGGCACGGATGCATTCCTGGACAAAAAGGCCTTTGAAAATGTCTCTCTCGGGGCCCATTTGGCGCCATGTTGCGACTTGAGCAGCGCGGGCTTTGCTCCATGTGCTGCAGAATCAGCGCTGGTGACTGGGGAAGGGCCCGGCCCAGTGAGCCCCCACGTCCCCACAGAGCCCTGGCTGGGGCGTGACGAGAGATCACGGGGTATAGCACCTACTCCACCTCAACGTGGTCCACCTAGATAGGCCTCATCAAAAATGGCCCATTTGGCGGCGGGGATCGTACCTACCCCTCAGGAAGGGGTCGCACATTAGGATCCAATGTACCTCTCGCAGCTGGGAAACATTCTCTGGGCCGTCCTCGGGAGGGCCATAAGAAATTCACACCTGTGACTAGCTTAACTGGCCATTGGTTTCCCCCTAAGCCTTATACAGAGCCCTTTGAGAGAACAGCTCCCTGGCAGTGACAACTTGGGTTTATAGAAAGAAATCGAGGTACGACAGATTCAGGTGATTTAGCATATCACAATAAACACTGTGCCTGCAGTGTGGCTGGGTTATTGCTGACACATACAATGAAGAGAGGGCCTGCTGGTCAGTGTACGTCCAACCTCACACGTATTATTAGATTGGTACTGAACATTTTTAAAAGCTTTTCTGGTGTGAAATATTGAATTTATGATTCACTTGAAATTTCCCATGCTACTTAAAATTATATTAATAATTTACTTTTGTGGGGTATCCAGTAGCATGTCATCTGAATAGAATGCCCACAGATGTGGGACACGTGTTTGTATTCCAGCTGGGAGAGGTTATTTTTATAAATGCAAGCTGAAGAACCTATTTTCAAATGAATGCTCTTAAACATAAAATTCATTTTAGAGCTCAGCCCACCACCACCACCATTAAGAAAGAAGAGAATGTGGGCAAAATTCACCAGCCGATTTCACGGCCCTGTTGTATGCGGTGAGTTCTCTAAATGAGCTCTTAAACTCACAGCTGTGGTCTCACAACTACACTTGGTTGGTCTCCTTGTCTCCAATGAATCCTTAGGTCTCTGAAAGTTGAATCATTGACACAGGTTTCCAGTATTTTCACTCTCTTCCTGCTTTGCAGTCCATTAATCTTCATGTTGATTTTCCCTCCACCCTCTTGAAAAAACTGTATGCGTCCCCCAGATGGAAAGCTGGGCGCTGGCACTGGGAAGAGACCACATGGAGCGGGAATGGCAGGACAGGCGAGCTCCTAGCCAGTGTGGTGAGCCACCACCACAGGCCAGGCCCTGCAGCTCGGGAAGGGAAGTGAGTCAGGTCCTCTGAATTCTGTGGTAACAAGCCCAGAGCCTCTGCCACCTCTCCCCACCCCGTGGATGTGCACCCGACCAAGCACGGGACCTCCCGGTGTGAGGCAGGGCCAGACAGATGCTCTTTTGTCCTTCATAAGAAGGGAAGGAAGGGGTTTGGGTGGAAGCATCTTAGACTGCAGTGCAGTGCTAAGGCAAGCTCGGCAAGGCCTTTGTGGGAAGTCCTGGGGCCAAAGTCCTGAGTGCATCAGAGAAGCATCCAAGTTAGCACTTCTGCCATGTTGAGTCACTGGCTGGGAGGAGGCCGTGGGAAGCACAGCCTTGACACAAATGCAGCAACTTTGGAGCACAGCAGCAGAAGCCCCAGTCACTGATCCCCTACAATTGGAGATCGGAGAGGGGCATTCGCAGAGCTGCCACACCAGGTACTGACAGCGCCTAGATAACGGTGTCCAGGTAACTGACAGCACCCAGATTTACAAAAATACAGGATGACAAGTTTGGATTTCACATAATCAACTAACAATTTTTAATGTAAGTGTGTCCCAAATACTGGTGTCCTATATTTTATCTGGCAACCTCATCATAGCTCTTTTTTGTGTTAGGCTTTATCTGAGACAATCTTTTCTCTTTTGAACAGGACCTGCTCTTTGGCTGCCAGTTCTTTAGTGCCTGCATTGCTGGGTACCATCTTGACAGGTCCCTTTCCTGGGCGGTCTCTCTCCTACCCTGTCATCCATCCTCCCTACTACTCCAAATTATTCTTCTGGGGACACCATTGTGGTCATGCCACCCACTCACCACCCAAGAAACTTCCAATAACTCCTATGGCTTTCCGAATGAAGCTCAAAATCTGGCATCTTATCTTTGCAACACTGATTCCCACTGACCTTACAGTCCCTGGCCTTTGATCAGACCAAATCGCATGGCTATCAAGATACATCCTATGGCTCCAGGCATCCCGCTTTTGCTTATCTTGGCCCCCCTCCCTGGAATTCCTTTCCTGGGACAGCCTTCTCCTAGATGTCAAATTTAACCTATTCTTCGAGGCTAGCTCAAATATTGCCTCCTCCTTGAAGAGATGGGCTATGTGTACCATCACCCTGCCCAGAACCCCTTATACCTAGTGACACAGGAAGAAGCTGAATGATATAAAAAGACATAACTTGATATGCTCCCATACAGAGTGGATTTTAGCAGACAATTTTCCCCATTCCATGTGTGGCATTAATATCAATAGCTCTTATGCAACCAACAGGGTAAGTCTTGCTTTTAGCCCGGGTGCAGATGTTTAATTAATCAGGGCTGCCGTCCTTGTTCGCCCTTGACTGGGCTTCCCTGATGATTACCCACTGGAAAACTCAGCCCTTTCATGCAAACAATGTCCTGATTAATGCTTTGTGCCATGTACCAGGTTTGGTGAGTGGTCCTTCATTAGTGAGTCCGCTGTACTGTGATGCTTAGTCCTCAGAACTCAAACCTGATTTCACACACAACTGTCTTTTCTTGTGTTGTCAAACCTTTCCTTAACTCCCTTTCCTTCCTCCCAACTTTAATTTTGGGGAGAAAAGTTCACATCAAGTGAATATAAAATATTAAATTATTCTGACTTCAGCACAGTTTTCAGACTGACTTGGGTGTTGAAATTGCTCTCCATGCAGCCGCGTGGCTGCCTTTCACAGTCACGAGCTGGGCTGTGCCTTCCTGTGGTTGATGGTCACAGGTATTCATTCAGCCTCTTTCTCTCCTCCTCACTGGAGAAAGGGGGGGGGCACGGGAGGATCCAATGATGAAATGAAAACCTTTAAATAAAATATCATTCCCACAAAGGAAAAGAATTTTCCTCTGGGTCATTATCAGTGGAAGCCCAGAAAAAAGATAATAAGCACAAGATTCCTGATTAATTAAACATTTGTGCTCATTGTATGCAATTATTCTGGGGAAAATCAACTCTGGGACATCTGTTTACTCAACCTTGGGCTGAGAAACCACCAAACGACTCCTGCCCTGCATCTACAGGCACAATGTCAAGGCGCAGGACTGATAGCTCACGAGCCTGAGGAGCAGGCCTGCTAATTTTCTAGGTTGGAAGCAGATGACCATGCTGCATGAGCAATAAATTATAAAGGCTGAGTAAACTCATAGAGGGTTAAATGGGGAAATCTGAAGTGACAATGTATTAATATAATACATATTTACCAATATACATAACCATTTTATGCTACAGAGCAATTAAACATAGACGATACACATTTTCATAAATGCTTCAATTATTATTGCTTTTCACCCAGTGAAACCACATTTCTAGCTTTTTCCTTTTTACCCATTAGGTCTCCAGTTTCAATGATCTCCCGAATACCACTAACTCCTTCATTGTCATCCCTGTCTAATCTTCCTCCTGTGACAGTTGGGGTCAGGGAATGTCCCTGCCCAGTGTGGGGGCTCAGGAATGGGCAGAAGTGGACGCTTCTCCCCTTGACAGGTGATAAGCAAAACCCACAAGTTGTATATTGAGTGAGGATCAAGATCCAAGAACAGGTTAAACAGAAAGTGAAACTGAGGCCCAGGAGGTCCAACATGAGGAGACACGGGGCAGGAAAGGAGCGGGGGCTGCCGGGGTGGCTTGAAAACCCACTTGCTGGAATCTGGGTGCCCATCACAGCTTCCTATGAATCTCCCACCCCAGACGTGGAGACCCCAGGGAGGAGTCGTCTGGTTCTCAGCCGGAGAACCTTTATCAGACGTGATCAAATGAGCACAAGAGTTTGAGGAATTGCTACTGACTGGTCCATTCTCCCTGACTATCCCACACCGCGTGCATCTGTTGAGCCCCTGGCTCTGGTGTGGCAGAGTTTGGGTGTCCCCTGATCTACCTAGGAGAGGACTCTACAACCTTTAGGATCCCGCATGAGGGAAGGGTGGGTTGTCGCACCCACTCCTCTGACCCAGGCCCTCTCCAGTAAGACATGCAATCATTACAGAACATTTCCGTCACCCCCAAAGACTCCACACCCATTAATTCCCTGTCCCTTCTTCCTCCAGATCTCAGCAACCACTAATCTGCTTTCTAGCTCTGTGAATTTTCCCAATTCTGGACATTTCACATAAATGGAATCATACAATCACTGGCCTTCTGTAATGAGCTTTTTTCACTCAGCATAGTGTTTTCAAGGTTTGTCTATGCTGTAGGATGTATCAGTACTTCATTCCTTTGTATGGCCGAATCATAGTCCATTATATGGCTAAAGCATGTTTTGTTTCTTTAGCAGCTGATGGACATTTGGTTTTTTTCGTTCTTTTGGTCATTGTGAATAATGTTACCATGAGCATTCCTGCTCGAGTTTTTATGTGAATGCATACTTTTGATTCTTTGGGGTATTTCCTTAGGAGT